ACCAAGAAAACTCATGTGAAAAATAAAGATGAAAAGAGTCGTTCTTGAGGAATCCTTTCAGTCCTTAGTGTGATACACAAACTTTGCAGTCTTGTGCTCCCACCTCCAGTTTTAATATCTATGCTTCTAATTAGGGCTTTATATCTGTCTCTCTCTCTCTTTCTAGGTCTGGGTTTGTTTTTATTTAGCACATTAAATAGACCCACTGAGTACCCATTTTGGTGAGGCTGTATTATTTACACTGCATAATTTGAGTGCTTCAGTATGTGTATGGAATTTTAGAATTTAAGAGTGGTATCACCTTCAGCTCTGCAATAGAAATGTGCAGGTGCTCTGGCTACACCTCCTGTTCCCCCATTAATCACCAGCCTTGATTCACATGGCTGCCGGTGTCCCTTCCTCCCTTACTATTCTCTATTGGTGTTGCCTGAAATGTGTGCTTGGTTGAAGAGGCTGACCTTCCCAAATAGAAATCTGTAACCCTAAGCACTCTATACATAAAAATAAATGCTCGTAAAAGCAAATATGAAGTCCATTAAAAAAAAGATTGAGGAACACATTAACACAAATGTGGATGAAGAAAAATTGGGAAAAAGTGGAAACTGAGACCGTCACACCACGTTCATCAGGTGCCCAGGGCACGGTTGCACTAAGGAAGTCTGCTAATTAACAGAACAGGCCAATTTTTCAATGTTCAACAGCTGTATTCTGTGCATCCAATAAAGCGGCTTTCACAAGTTTCCTAGCATCCCCAGCTTGCTGCATTCTCTGGATGGCTATGATAAAAACAAGCATACGGTGATATGGGTCTATAAACGGACTTGGTATAGGGAGGGATAAGGCCTCCCTAAGGAGGTAGCCTTGAAAGTCTCGGAGAATGGCTAGGGCTGGGAGAGGTGCGGGTGTCCTCAGTAGGCCGAGAGCTCCTCTGTGAGCTGGAACAAACAGCGTGTGTGCAGTGGATACAAGGAAAGGAAGCTAGAGAAGTAGGGAAGGGTCCACGTCATCTTTTCTAAGAGTTCGATCTTTATCTTGTGATCTTTGGCAAGCCACTGAAGAATTTCACTCAGAGGAAAGATATCCAATCAGCATTCTAGAGACATCTCTTATGGTTGAGCAGAGAATATGAGGGCCAGACTGGGAAGAACACCAGTTATTGGGCATTTGGAGTAAACAGGTAGGAATGAATGAGGAATGTTGAGGTAGAGTTGGAAGGAGGTAGTTAAAAGTGCCTGAAGAGTTGTCCAAGGGCTCTCTGACATCTCCCCATCAGCCTACCCCCTCATCTCTTTCTGAGGACAGCCGCCATTTAAGGGGTGTTCTGGAGATTTATACCTTATAAAGTGAAAACACCTCTTGGGTAGTCAAACCTATTTGAGAAATTACACTTTAGTGTGAATAATTTAAGTTTGATAATTAGATGTATTCCTTCTAAGATCCCTCCCTGGTATTACCTTTAGCTCAGTTAAGAGAGTTGCTTATTAACCCAATTGACTTTCCAGTTACTAGCGGAGAGACACACGAGGGGGCTTCCCAGAGCTCCTGACTTCTGCCTCACTTCTCTCTCCTGCCGGTGGGGACAGGGAGGGAGGGGAGGGACACAGACTGGTAGGGGTGGAACATTCCCTGGGTCACCTAGGGTTGGTTTCTCATTTTACAGGCAGAGACACAGGGCAGAAATCATCTCTTCTTTCCATTTCTGAAACTCTGAGCCCACACCTCAGCTGACCCTGCGTGGCCAGAATTCGAAGCTGGCACTAAGATATTCAGTCTCTCTTCTGTTCATCATCATTCAAAATAAAGTAGAAAATTTGAACTTATTCTAGGTTGAAAGCGTTGCTGGTGTTGATGGAATAGCACTTGCAGCAGCATGAGGTAGTCACACTCAGCCCCACACCCGACTCGGGGCAGCAGATGGCCAGCCCCGGGCAGCGCACACCTGCGTGGGGTGCATTTCAGGAGCTCAGCTCCTGGGGGCTTGAGGGTTGGTTTCTGAGAGTCCATTTCAGATGTTATCTGCCATGGTTGCCTGAACAAACACATTGTTCTGTCCCAGAAAGGAGTATTCTGTGGCACTGTCAGATTCACCCTGCAGGCAATGGTGAAACAGAAGGGAGCTTTCCTTTCAGAGTCCTACTGAATTGGAGCTTTCTGGCCTTCATGGTACTCTTTGCAAGCCCATCTGTCCCACCAGTTGGGGGACTGCTGACTTGATGACAGGCTGGGTAGCTAATCCCATGGATTAGATCAACTGTTATTGTTGTAAGTGTACCCTGAGGCCTGGTTGATTGCTGCTATCAATCATATATTTTGATGCTATGAATCAAAATACTGTCTACCCTGGCTGGGCTCAATTCTTTAGTGGACAGCATGCAACCTCAGCCTGGTCCCTGAGACCCCATTACATTTCTGGCTTTGGGAATACAACCTAACTTGAGATTCTTTGGGTGCAAGGGAATTTGTCACCTGAAATTCTTCCATCATAGTTCAAACAGCCATGTGGAGATCTTAAAAAGGTTCTAGGACAGACCTGAGCTATGTGGTGGCTGTAAAAATATCCCAAACATGTCCTCAAATTCTCTTTCCATCTTTTGTTTTCCTCTATTCCCAGCCGTTTTGTACTCTCCACAAGCTGCCACTGTTTTTCCCATTTCTCTCCTTCCCACTGAGCTTGGAGTCAGGTGACCTGGTTTCTAGGCCCACTTTCTGCCTTTAAGGAATAGGATCCTTGGCAAATCACTTAAACTTGCCAAGGCTCAGTTTTCTTATTTGTGGAAACTGGGAATAATAATACCTACCTTGCCTGCTTTACAAAGTGATTGTAAATAAAATTAAAGAGAGTGATATATCTAAAAATCTTTTGAAAATGATATAATTTTATTCTCATTTAAAGTAGTAATATTATTTTATTACCTTATCTGGGTTACATTGATTATAGCTATAATAAATTGCTTTTGCACATAAAGTCAAAGTTTGTTCATCTTTCTGTTTGTTATACAAGGGTAAGAAATAATGATAGCATTTGTTATTTACTATAAAGAAATGGAGGCTTAGACAGATTTGATAACTTGTCCAAATTTATATTATGTATAAGTGGCAGAACCAGGATTGGAACCCAAAGTGCTAGCTCCACATTTTATGTAGTTAGTAGCTACTGGCATCCACTGAGTAGAGGAAAGGCACTTTTCATGTTCTTACAGAGTTTTGTTCCTTTTTTCTCTGATGTACCAGCTGTCTCTACACAGGCTTTTTTCTGTGCTTCCGGCAGGTAACCTGTGAGTGTTAGCATTATCTAGTGGGAATTTTATTAGTATTGATGTTAAAAATGTGTGGAAGAACTATGTTCTTACAGAGTTTTGTTCCTTTTTTCTCTGATGTACCAGCTGTCTCTACACAGGCTTTTTTCTGTGCTTCCGGCAGGTAACCTGAGAGTGTTAGCATTATCTAGTGGGAATTTTATTAGTATTGATGTTAAAAATGTGTGGAAGAACACATGAACTTCAAAGTCAGACTAGTTTCTGGTTGTAGTACTTATCAAAGTTATAGTCGTGGGCAAGTTACTTTACTTCCTCCAAATTTGATTTTCTCACCTTTAAAAATGAGGATAGTGGTAGCTGCTGCTTGGAGTTGTCGGGAGGATTGACTGAGCTCCTGCATGCTGAGCACTTAGGAAAGGTCTCGCTCATCGTGGGTTCCTCAGCAAATACTAGTGGGCTCCTTTTCTTTGGCAAAGTGAACGTTTCTCCATTTGAAGTTCCAGTTGATGAGGCAGCAACATATTTTATATGAATTCCACTTCATTTTCCACCTAAAGGTATAATAAAAATTGTAATATTTAAATATAATTATAGAAAACAAATGTTTATTGGACATTTATTATGTGCCAGGTTCTGAAATAAGTGTTTTAACAGTCATATAATTCTCACAATAACTCTCTGATTAGGTACCTTTATTGTCTACTTTTGGAAACTGAATTATGGAAAGGCTAGGTAAAGCCAACTGGGGAGTTGTATTAGTCTGTTTCTGTTGCTTATAACAGAATACCTCAAACTGGGTAATTTATAAAGAAATGAAATTTATTTCTTACAGTTTTGGAGGCTGAGAAGTCCAAGGTCCAGGGGACACATCTGGTGAGGGCCTTCTTCTAGGTGGGAACTCTCTCAGGGTCCCATAGCAATGCAGGGTGTCACATGGTGAGAGAAATGAGCTGATCAAGAGAGCTAACCTTCTCATTTGCTGTCCTCGTCAAGCCATCAGTCCACACCATGGTAACTCATTGCCATCGCCCCATCACTCCATGAATGGATGAATCCACTCATGAGGGCACAGTCCTCACATAGAATCATGGGGAGAAAAGCTTTCTATGGGGCCATTTAGTTCCTTTTTTAAACTTTTTGAAATGATCATTCATTTCAGATAGATGGAAATCTTTGAAACTTCCAGAGAATCATATTGTCCAAACAACCCACTGCGTTATTGCACTTGCCATAAAAGACTTAACAAATAAATCAGTAACCAGAATACCTCATGTTGTGGTTGAAGCTGGTTTCCTTGGGGGATGCTGGGGCCAGTTGGTCATTATTCATTTTTGATCAAAGCCTGAACTTTTAATTTATTTTTCTCTAAGTTTTAATAGAGTTGAGTAGACAGTTCCGAAAAACTCTACTCACTTCTCTACTGCTTTGGAACCTAGATAGAAGGATGTGACTACATGTAAATGACTTCTGGAATTCAGTCTTCTGATGGCAGAGAAATTTAAGTGAAAACAGAATTTTAGATTTGGGACCTGATTGTAGATTTGGCACCCTCTTCCAATAGGCTGTGTGGCCTTGAGCCTCTCTGGTCTTGGTGTCCTTATCTGTGGGGGAGGTATTAGGATTACATGATTTCAAAGCTTCCTTTTAGGTTAAAACTTTTGGATTTCTATATAATAACTCTGCAACAATGCATCTATTAAATCTTCTGCACTATGGCTAAAAGGTGATCTGTTCATTTGTTTCAGAATTTTTGGATGCTTCTTGTTTGGAGAATCTAGCTGCTCTGATGATAGCTTAAGAAGACTGCATGCCATTTCCTCTAAATGCCACACCAGGCCCACCTGGAGCCTCGCATCTCAGTCCTTCATGGAGACCAGATCCCAGCAGGAATGGCAGTGCAGGAAATTGGCACCCAGACGGATGCTGCACGTGAAGCTGTCTTGGGCTATGAGCTGACGTGAGCACACCTGGTAGCCAGACTAGCCCTCTGTCAGTCGCCCAGGGCAGGGCAGCATGGTGCGGATTCAGAGGAGGAAGCTTTTGGCATCTTGCCTGTGCATCACAGCTACCATCTTTCTGCTTGTCACACTCCAGGTACCAAGAATTTGGGTGGTGTAGTGTTGATTCTTGGGCCTTTGCCCCCCCCTCCATTCTCTCAGAACTCCGAGTACTTTTTGCTTAATTTTTCAGGATTGGGATTTTTTACAGTGTAAGGTGGGAGAAACACTTTTTTTCTTTTTTTCTTTTTTTAAATCAGGTGAAACAGGTTTAGTGAATGCATGTGCAGGTAGAAGCAAAATAATTGAGACCGAGGGTCAGTCTGTGACTCTTGTACGGTCCTGGTTTTAGATAACCAGAAAGTAAAGCTCAATCTTTTCTTTTTTTAAATCAGGTGAAACAGGTTTAGTGAATGCATGTGCAGGTAGAAGCAAAATAATTGAGACTGAGGGTCAGTCTGTGACTCTTGTACGGTCCTGGTTTTAGATAACCAGAAAGTAAAGCTCAATCTGTCTTACTGGGTCTCAAAGCTGACAGCTTCCTCAAAGTCTGCTATTGTCATCATTCTTGAAGAAGCAAGGACTATTCTGAGAACAAAACAGTCTGTACCTTCTAGTAGATGCAGTGTAAAACGTGCATTAATAAATTTGTCATTCTTGACGTATGCTGCTAGGAACTGAAACATTTCTTTAGTCCTGCACTTATTTCCTTTAGTCAGTTTTTCTGAACTTTGCTGATTTCAAATTAAAATAAAAATTGCATAATGATAGTAAAAGGATAGATAAGAGCTCAGATATATTTTGCCCCTATTCAGGTACCAGCTGCCCATTTCAAAATCCAAAGGACTTTTAAAGATTATTTGTGGATGTGAGTAGTTCAGGCGTGGGATCGATGGAAACTAAAGTGTTCTCTGGGCCTTTATGCTGTTCAGGATCTTCTTTCTCCTGACTAGAATTGAAGGAGGTAATGCTTATAAAAGCATGTTGGTGGACACTGGGACTGGTGCATCCACTACCTTCTGCTGCTGGATTGGGATTCTGGTCAGAGGAAATATTTGACTCCCTCTTTGTAGATGCTGGAAGTATCCAGGACCTGCTGTTCAGGAAGGGCTGGAGTTTTCTGCTCCTTTCTGTGGGAGGTTGTGAGAGAGCTTTGATCTTAGTAGGCATTTACTTTGGCACTTTTTCCTGTTCTGCCTGCATGTAAGCTAAGAGCTTTCCTTTTGATGTCAGAACCAATTGCTGTGTTTCTGATATGCGTGTCATTTCTGAGTTTCCAGAGCTTGAAAGGTGGTGTGATTACTAGAGATAATCCTTCATCTGGCTCATAGTTTCAGTTTTGCCATCAATAGTGTGGTTTGGGCTGTTTCCCAGTTCTCACTGGTACATCGAAAGCTTCAGTGTTCAGAGTTGTGGAAATACTATTTAAAAAAAACAAACACACTATAAATTAAAAATATAATGCCTATGCATTCAGAATCATTCCTGTGTTTACTGTAAAAGTACAGTTTTTACTGTAGAAGTAAATTATTTCATAGGGCTACTCAGATGAAATAATTTGCCACGTGTGTAGGGTAAAGGAAGGATAAATGAAAAAAACTCATGTCATAGATCCTGTAGTAGTCTGCTAGGGCTGCTGCAACAAAATACCACAGACTGGGTGGCTTAAACAATAGAAGTGTATTTTCTCATGGTTCTGGAGGCTGGAAGTCTAAGATCAAGGCATCCGTAGGGTTGTTTCCTCTGAGGCCTCTCTTTTTGACTTGTAGATAGCTGTCTTCTCCCTGTGTCTTCACCTCATGTTTGCTTTGTACTTGTCTGTGTCCAAATTTCCCCTTTTTATATGAACACCAGTTATTGGATTATGACCTAATGATCTCATTTTAGTTTAATTTCTTCTTTAAAGACCCTATCTCCTAAGGTAGGGAGAGGTGCTGAGGTTAGAACGTCAACACACAAATTTTGGGGTACGCAATTCAGCCCATAACAGATTCTATAACCTAAGTTATTTGGTTCTCTGGAGGAAATCATTCATCTTAGATATTATTTTCCACTCACATTTAATTATATTTTGCGTATACTATCTGTAAATGCTTTGGGTGTATATGTACCTTTATTTATTTTTGAATTTTACTTACTTTTTAGTTGCACAAATAATTCATGAATACATTTGGAATATTTTAAAGCAAATCTCAGACATAACAGAATTACACCTGGATGTATAGCACAGTAGTATGATTCTCTAAAAGATAGGAACTATTTAAAATTTAATATAGTCATATTACTACTGTCACACCCAACAAAATTAACAATAATTATTCAGTACCCTCTACATACTAGGCCATATTACATTTTCCTCAATTTTCTTTAGAAAGTCATTTTATAATGGGTTGGTTTGAATCTGTAATAAACAAATCTCACTCATGCTTTTAGTTGGTATATCTTAACTTCATTTTATTTATTTATTTACTAACTTTAAAACTTTCTTCTGCCTCATCTTTTGTTGAAGAAACTGGGTCATTTGTTCTTTTGAATTTCTCAGATTGTGGATTTGGCTGACTTTATCCTTGTAGTTTTGTAATATGTTCCTTTATTCCCACATGTTTGTACAACCTGGTAGCGATATCTGAAGCTAAGTATTTTTTTTAAAGCTGTTTGCCAGAAAAATCTCTCCTTAAAGCAATCTTTATTGTTTGTAAATGAACTCACAGCTAGATTTGGCTGATTTTATCCTTGTAGTTTTGTAATATGTTCCTTTATTCCCACATGTTTGTACAACCTGGTAGCGATATCTGAAGCTAAGTATTTTTTTTAAAACTGTTTGCCAGAAAAATCTCTCCTTAAAGCAATCTTTATTGTTTGTAAATGAACTCACAGCTCATGTAGTAGACATTGATCAGAAATGTGGAGCAAATTTTACTTTTGAAGTTATACCCCATGGCTTTGTAAAAACTTTTAAGTTACTGGTTGTACGTTTGCATGGGAGGTTGGATGAAAAGATAAGAGAGTTTGCTGCTACCAGTCAACTCTATCCCATCAAGCTATTGGGGAAGAGCCACATTATTATATTACCAAAATGCCGAGAAAGCTGTTGGCAAGAGTTAGACTAGTTTTCAGTGACTGTTTTTCTGTTCTAATGCTGACTGTGGTGTCACGGATAATCCATGATTTTTTAAAGCTAATATAATTCTTTACTCCTTTTGGAGTACCTCATGGCTTTCCCTCAGTGGTTCTTAATATATTTTTTGCCTTGGGTATCTTTGAGAATCTAATGAATATTATGGACCCTGCCCAGGGAGCTACAGACTCCATGGGACGTGTCAGTGGTCAGTGTCCCTTTGCTACCATTGGGGTAACAAGTACATAGAACAGGCCCCACCCTTGGCTGCTAGGAGTGGGGCTGCGGGCCATACATGGAGTGTGCCCTCTGTGGCTGAACGGTGCAGGAGTTAACACATAGAGGTGTACATGTGCCACCATTCCACTGCTTTATTTCATAGTTTGACTCCTAATGTTACATCTGACACAGATCAGCCCTTTCTCTAACAGATTTTTGTAATGCCATATCATTAGCAAATCTTAAAGTTTGATGAAATAGCAGCAGTTTTAGAGAACAACTGCCCTCGGCGTCTGCAGCACCCTCCCGGCCCTCCTGAGCACTGATAGGATAGCCTAGCTGCCCAGTGACCCAGCCTTAGACTGTCCTGAAATACATAAAAAACATGGTGTTAAGGGGGAGTTAGTGGAAGCCCACACTCATGGTCTGCTGTGTGGATAACATAGACTCCAGGGAGTTTTGACGATGGATATTACTTCGCCATTTCAATGCTACAGTGGCTATTACTAGAAACATAACACCTATGTTATGACTCCTTTAATTATAATAAGAAGAAACCAGTTGGTGATTTATAACTCATTTTTCTTAGAGTATAATCTCTAGTAGTAGTAAGGTAATAACCTTATGATAGGTTTCATTAAAAGACAAAACTATTTCTGGGTACTATATGTGTTTATAAAATGGAGGGGAAATGTATCTGTTATAGGTGTTCAGTAGAACTATGAAGCATCCTGTTAGTAGATATTTTGGAGGCTGTGTCTACAACCTGATCCCTGGAACCTGTGAATATCTTACTCTACATGGCAAAAGGGACTTTGAGGATGGGATTTATTTGACCTATCTTGAGGTGAGAAATTATCCTGAATTATCCATGTGGTCCCAATGTAATCATGCGTCCTTAAAAGCACAGAGACTTTCCTGGCTATGATCAGAGAGAAGAGTGACATAAGAAGAGGCAGAGAGATGCAATGTTTCAGGCTTTGAAGATGGAGGAGGGGGCATGAGCTGGGAGTGGTGGGTGGCCCTGAGAGATAGAAAAGACAAGAACAGGGATTCTCCCCTGGAGTCTCCAAAAAGGAACGTAACCATGATGATCCCTTGATTTCAGCCCAGTGAGACCCATTTCAGACTTGGGACCTACAGAACTGTACAGTAATACATGTGTGTTGTTTTAAATTACTGAGTTCATGGTAATTTGTTACAGCAGCAATAGAAAGCTAAGAGGCTAAAACGTCAAGATGAATGGGAGATGTGCAAAAGGAAATGAAATAATTGGACTCTGGTAATGATTGTCTTCTCTTGTAGGTAGTGGTTGAGCTGGGGAAGTTTGAAAGGAAGAAGTTTAAACATTCTAATTTGCATGATGGACATGCAGAAATGGAGGAAGAGCCCAGAGCTCTCAACCCATTCCTTAAGAAAGAAGCACTGACCTTGAATAGGAGAAAACAATTGGAAATGGATAGCTACCCCGTAATGCTTTGGTGGTCCCCACTGACTGGGGAAACCGGAAGGCTAGGCCAGTGTGGAGCGGACACTTGTTTCTTCACCATCAACCGGACCTACCTACATCATCACAGGACCAGAGCTTTTCTCTTCTATGGTGAGTGGGGCTTTTTCCTTTCTTTCTTTGCTGCTGTCTTACTCCAGTGCTGAGTTACCGTGTAACTCCCAAGAAAGCTGGTATGGCTGCCCTTGAAAATACTTGGGCACACCTGATATCCTTTGCATTGGCTCTGTGGAGGGCCTGCGCATTTAGCAAATATAATAAAGAAACAAGAAACAAAGAAGCCTGACCAATAGAGGTGGTTTGTTGGGCCACTGGGTATTTATGAAGGAGAAGAGAGATTTCTCCTCACCTTTTCATGGTTAGGTTGTGCTTACTGAATTTGATATTCAGGGAATTGGGTATTGCCTATACTGCTGACATCAGTTCAGAATGTCACTTATGATAATAGGCAAGAGATTTTGATGACTATAACAGATGTTTGATTGGACATAAGCCAAGCATGATGTTCTTTATTTCCTTAATGTCAGATTAATCAGAAATAAAAAAAGGTTGTTCAGCTTCAGCTTTTAAGAACAGGTTGGTATTCATCATTTTGTGAGGCTGATTATGTGTTATGCTGGGATTGAAGGTCACCCAAGCCCGGGTAGTGGAGTAGGCACGATGCCAGCAGCAGTTAGAAATACAGGGCTCTCGGGGGATGAGCAGTGGGGTGCAGGGGGACAGATTAGCACACTGACCAAATATAGCCAGGGTTAATCACTTAAGTTAGGAAGTCTGTGAAGGGAAATCTGCTTTAGAGTGGTATGAATATTTGTGTGTGTGTGTGTGTGTGTGTGTGTGTGTGTGTGTGTGTGTGTGTGTCTAATGCTGACTTTGAGGAGACAGAACTGAGATTAGGATATAGAGCTGGGTCAGTCTCATTGTAATGACTAACAGGATCTTAAATAAAGCAGAAAATGGGTTTGGCAGGAATCAGGAGGTGTACATGCCCTACTGGTTGGTCAGGGCTGCAGAGCTGTGGGCACTGGTGCCCTGGTGAGCATTCAGGGAAATTCCAGGTACTTAAAACTCCAGATCCTGGCTTAGTTGCCCCAAAGGCCTCCTGCTATTCCCACGCACTTGCTTTCCACCTCTACTCTTGAAAAGGAATCAGCATAGGTTTGAGAAGTGAGGGCCATGTGTACAGGGTCAGGCTGGTGGCTTATTGGTCCTGAGAGGAAGGTGACAGCTGGAATAGCACTGAATGCTTATTTTCAACATCATTTGATTACAGGTGCCACTGAAGATGTGATGTAATATATGGTGGTGTATCATGATACCCTCCTAAAATACAAGAAATTCTGAATTCTCAAACACATATAGCTCTGAAAGTTGGGATGAGGGATTATGATCCTCTAGTTGTTCTTTGAAATGAAGCAAAATTAAATGCTGAGTTTAATTTTAACAGAAGCCCCTAGAAATATTTCTGTTATATATAAAATTATAGATAATGTAATGGGCACTTATAGTTATAGATAATGTAATGGGCGCTTATATACCTACCACTTAGCTTGAGAAATAAAATAGTACAAGTATAATTGAAACCCTTCCTCCCCCAATCTATTTCCTCTCTCCTACCCCAGAGGGAATCATGATTCTGAGGTTGCTGTGTGTGTGTATGTGTGGTTATATATATGTGTGTGTTTATATATATAATTATATTATTTAAACATACAGGAATTACATGTACGTGTGTAACACGTTAAAAATTTTAAATGTTTGGAAGATAGTGACTGTGATACAACCACTTTAGATATTGGTTGGGCAGTATCTAGTAAATGTAACTTCATACCAAATAATTACACTCCTGGGTATATCAGCTCAGGAAATCTCATACACGTGCGTGGGTTGTTTATTGTAGCATTGTTTGTCATAAGTAAGGCTTTTAACATAAACTGAATTTCCAACAATAGGAAAATGGTTAAATGAAGTATGAGATGTAAGTACAGTGGAATACTATACAGTGGCAAAAATTGAGGAACTAGAGCCTTAAGCACACAAATTTGATAAAGCTCAAAAACTAAGTTACAGATAGAAAGTTACCATATCATACTATTATGCAACTTTTAGAACATACAAAGTAAAACTATATATTGTTTATGTTATTGGGAAGAATTTCTAGTAGAGTGCGTACACACACACACGTGCACATGTATAGATGACCTGTAGCTGACTCGACTGCACAGGCAGTTCTCTGAAAAATATCAATTGCCTTGAAGAGGAGCCTTATAACGTGGGTGAGACATCCTATTCTTAAAGAATTCATGTAAGTTCCAAGTTATCTTTAAGATTAGCTGAAGAGGCTTCCGGTCAAAATGGCAGAATAGATGGTCCCGGGCATCACTCTCTCCTACAAATCAATCCATTAACAGCTATTAAAAAGCAACAACAGCCAAGCTGGGGCCGCTAGAGCTCAGGGGAAGAGGAGGAGATACTTGCGGAGTTCATGAAGGCAGGAGAAACCACGATAAGAGAAAGAAAGGACCGCTCCTACCATTTCAAATCCCAGACGCTTCAAGGCTGGAATTGGTGGGTGCACAGAGCAAGAGCTGGCAAAAGCCACAGCTGTGCTCTTCCTATGAAGATGCTTGGAGGCGGCAGGGGAAAAGAGGGCCGTAGTGGCCCCCAGGCCAGCAGGACCACTAACAGGGTTCCCGTGGACCCATATAGGATCAAGGAGCCACAGCAACAGAAAAAAGGAGCCACTGAGAGGCCAGAGTCATTGCAAGAGACTAGTGCACAGCCTGTCCCATGGGAAGTGTTTGCAGTGTGGGCAGTCGAGAGACAGGCACACCAGGGAAATATTGAGGCACAGCATGGATAGCTGATCTGCT